CCTAAGGGAGAAAAACAACTTAAAGAAGGAAAGATTTATTTTGAATCATGGTTTCAGTCCATAGTCAGCTGGCTTCATTGCTCTCAGGCCCATGGTGTGGCAGAGAAAAGCTGCTCACATATGGTAGCCAGGAAGCAGAGTGAGAGAGGCAAGGACAAGAGGGACCCAGGCCAAGATGTAGCCCCCAAGGGCATGCTACCAAGGACTCGCCCTTCAACCATGTCCCATCTCCTATAATTTCTGCCACCTCCAATAGCTCTGAACCCATCAATGGATTCATCTGTTGATGAGCTCATGATTCAATCACTTCCCAGAAGCCTCACCTCTGAATATTGCTGCACTGAAACCAAGCCTTCAACCTGTGAGCCTCTAATTCTATTCCAGATCCAAACCACAATTCCCACAATTCACATATACAAATTCCTGTGTATGTGTGAAGGGTTTTACTAATTAAGGAATAAGCAAGTGAGAAGAAGAGAAGTTTGTGGAAAACAGTAGTATGTTAGAACATAGACCTGTTAGGGAATTCTGTAGGCATGCATCTGACCATGCTCTGCCACCAACTGGGACAAGAAGAGCTTCTAGATTGATTCAGGAAATGAGAGCATTAGACAAGACAGTCTCTGGTTGCAAGTGACAAAAACTAGCCTAAGTTGGCTTTCCTAAAAAGGAAGTGCCCATTCAGGGCAGCCGGTGGGATTGGCTCCAGAGACCCACGTGCTGTCCTCAGGCTGACTGTCTCCCTCTCCTGGTGCTATTCTTTCCTGTAATTTAGCCTGTCATTGGCTCTTCTCACATGAGAGCCTTTTGCTGCTCCAGACTTTGGTTGAACCACCTTACCAGCCTCCCCCTGGTGGGATGGAAGCCCTTCTTTCCCCGTGACACTTGTAACAAGTCTCAGGGCCCATGTGCCTTTGCTCTGGTTGGCCCAGCCTGGATCCCATGTGCAGGACTTTCCTTGTTCAGGCTCAGGCATGTGTTTACCCCACAGCCAGTAGCTGGTTCCACCCTGACCCATCATTCCACATGGAAAGAATAGAGGAAGGAGGGCTGAGGTGTGGCAAAGTGTGTGGCATGCTTCAGGCAATCTCTCCAGTACCCCCTGCCCACCCAGAATAGGAAGACTTAGGGGAGGGAAAGCAAAACTCAGAAGCTTTTCCCAGAAGGGGACAAATACTGAGTAGACAGAAGTAATACATCTGCTACTTCCTTTCATCCCGACATCCATTACTTGCAGAATTCTCAACATCATCAGTCAGAAGCAGCCAAATAAATGGCTCTGGGAATCTGCCAGGAATCCCTCGTGGATTTTTATTCAGCAAACTCATTTATTCATGCAGAGAGTATGCATATTCATGACCCTGCTACACCCCTGGCTCTCTGTGGGACCCTGCATATCTTTTGGTAAAAATACAACAGTCTATACTAAGAACCTACAGCCTCGCAAAGAAAGTATGTCTGTTAAGAAACTCATAGAAGGGCTGGGGTTGAGCTCAGTGGTACAGCACTTGCCTCAAATGTGTGAGGCGCTGGGTTCGATCCTCAGCACCACACAAAAATAAATAAATAAAGATATTGTGTCCACCTACAACTAAAAAAAATCTAAAAATAAATAAAAAGAAAGAAAGAAACACATAGAAGTGGGATGGCGATAGAACGGCTCAGGTTCCAGGTGTGTGGTGCGAGGACCAGGCAGCAGTGCCCCGAGGAAGCACCCATAGTCTGTTCCTAGGAGCCAAAAAGGAGTTGGTTGTGCAAAGGTGTGTCTCAGGCCCTGGGGACAGAAGACAAGGTCTCTGTGGGCCAGAGAGGTGGAGAGCGCAACCCAGACCTGAGCCCTTGAGCACTGAACTGCCCTGAACCATTTCTTTTCTCTTTTCAGGACACTTCCTCAGAGGATGTGGAGCCATTTTTGGAAAGTGTCAACACAGGGGCTTTTTGTGGCCATGTTCTGGCCCCTCATCCCTCAGTTTGTGTGCAACTGTTTGTTTTACTGGGCCCTGTATTTCAACCCAATCATTAACATTGATCTCGTGGTCAAGGAAGTTCGAAGACTGGAAACGCAAGTGTTGTGACTGGCACTGTCCGGGCTCTGAGCGGGTCCTCCAGTCTCCCCAGTGCCTGAGCGGATGCTTTGGAGGGTGAGGGAAGAGGAGACTTCCTGTTTCTACCCCTGGTAAACAAGGTGCTGCTTTGTAGGACAAAGGCTTCAACCAGGTCCTCTCTTCTCTGCCTGTGGCACACCGTGGCAGCACACCAACACCCCAGTACCTGGAGGACTGTCTGTGGCCCACACAGCCGCCGCCTCACAGGGACCTGGCTGGCTCAGGCCACCATGGCTGGCAGGACTCAGGGTCCTCAGAGGACACAGTGTGGGTGACGTCAGAAGGCCACCACATCGGCATCTCCCTCCCTGCCTCAGTTAATGACAGGTTCCTAGAGCCAAGACTAGACTTGTTTGGGCCAGGCCTGTCCTGTACGTCAAGTTTAGGAAGACAGAGATAGGGTTTTTGTCATAGGCATAAAAAGTTACACATTTAAAAAAAAAAAAAAAGGGAAAACCCAGAATCCAATCAACAATTCTGTCTCCTTGGGTAGTTGCTGGGTTTCAGAGGAAACCTCTAAAATGATTCAGTTTGAGATTAGAATGATGGTCGGCTTTTCCTCACTGTTTTTTTGTCATTGTTATTGTTGGTTGGTTGGTTGGTTTTCTGTTTGGGGTGGGGCTTGAGTGGCTATCTATCGGGCAGCACCCAGAGCTCCCCTCAGGCTAAGCTGCATCAGGCTGCTTAAAGGCATTGCTTTGGGGTTTTGTTTTGTTTTGTTTTTCAGAATTTAATCTGTAATATCAGGTTAGACTCTGCATTCATGCATTGAAGGAAACATTTTATAAATTGACCTCACACTGTATAATGTGTAATCTTTATTGTCCTCTTGTGGTATGTGAGCAGCTGGCATAATTATACCAAGTGCTGTAATTGTGCACACAGAGGGAGGAAGGGCGGCCTTTGTTTTCCTCAGTGTGTAAACTGCAGGTGTGAAGTGTGAGCTGTGGGCTCCCTGGAGAGGAAAACTTGCATCCACAGTGTGGGGGAGCTCCATGAACCATTCATTAACCCCTTCCACCCTTAAGTGAAGATTTCATTCAAACTTTTCATCTTAAAGTTTGGAGAAATTACTTGAAATAAAAATAAAAGATTTTTATACAGATAAATGCTCTGTATGGGGGAAAAAAAACCTGGTTGTTTAGGAAACACAAATTCACATGCCCAATATAATCTGCTAGTCCTACTAAAGTCTCAGGCTTCATGCAGACCCACATTGAGCCAAGGTGTCTTCTGTGGAAAGAGGGAGAATGTTCTTCCTTGTTTGCTCATCAGGCACCAGGACTGCCTAACTTTACCTTTTTACACTCTGAATGCCAGAGACACTAGGGGACCCACAGTGTGTACATCCCTGGGCCTATGGGGTTACTGGTATTCTTTCTCAGTGAAAAAGTGGGAGCTGTTTGGCATGGGTACAGCTGGCCCCAGTTTAGACCACAGGTTGCCAGAATCCCAGACCTGTACCTCCAACCCCCACCTCTTGGCCTCCCACACTGCCCAAACCCCCTTCTAAGATGAGTTAATACCAGATCTCTGGGAGGGAGGACAAAGAAGATTTGGCCAAACAGGTAGACTGGGCACTTGCTTCTTAGTGCCAGCAGAGATAGACATGCTGAGATCAGGGCTGCCTCTCACATCTCCCTGCTGTCAATCAAGGTGGCTTAGGAGGACCATAATGGGTGTCCATGTGAAATATTTAGACCTTGTGATTGGATTTCTCCAAATCCAGCCAAAGAAAAATTAAAAAGCATTGGGAGGAATATTTATTCTTTGGCATCCCATCACAGGGATTGACTGAAACAGGAAATACTCCAAAATCCAAAAGTTGGCAATCTACACAGTGGCATCTGTTCAGGTTTAATGGTGCACAGTTGTAATCCTGGCTACCCAAGAGGCTGAGGCAGGAGGATTGGAAGTTCTAGACCAGCCTGAGTAACATCCCAAAATCCTCTCTGAAAATGAAAAATAAAGGGACTGGGGATGTGGCTCAAGCGCGCTCGCCTGGCATGTGTGCAGCCCGGATTTGATCCTCAGCACCACATACAAACAAAGATATTGTGTCCGCCCATAACTAAAAAAAATAAATTCTTTCACACTCTCTCTCTCACTCTCTTTTAAAAAGAAAAAGAAAATGGACTGGGGTGTGGCTCAGTGGTAGAGCCCTTGCCTAGCATGCTGGAGGTCCTGGGTTCAATCCCCAGTATTGGGGGGGAAATTTTGTCTAATACAAGAGGAGGTTTCCAAAAGGCTTTTTGTTTTAATGACATGGCACAAACCTTATGAAAAAATCATAGTGTGTCAACTACTATTTTAAAAACTATAGAAAAGACCAGTGAACAGCACACTAAAATACTGAAAGTGTATTCCCCATGTGGGGATTGGAGTGATTTGGGTTTTGTTTTGTTTTTCTGTTGTTCTGTATTTTCATTTCTTTTTCTTTCCCTGCCCCAAATAAATAAGCATGTACTACCTTGGAAATCAGTAAACAACTTTTTTAAATGTATGTATGTGTGTGTGATGCTGGGGACCAAACCTAGGGCCTTATGCATGTTAGGCAAACATTCTACCATAACTGAACTAAATCCCCAGCCCAGGAAATAATGTTTATTTTATTTTAGAGATGGGATCCCACTATGTTTCCCAGGCTGGCCTCAAACTCCTAGGGTTTGTCCTCCCCAGGAAACTGTTAAAGGTTTCAAACAGCTATGAAACTTGAATTTCACAAGGGCGAGTGTCCCCTGTATGTCTTCTTTATTGCGGACACTGAGCCTACAACATGGCCAAGTGCCCGGCAGGTATCCGCGCTCATTTGACCACCAGTCATCAGCAGCAAGTGAGAAGACAAAACCCACCTTTTCAAAAAAGTCGAACTAACCACAGAAAACGATACCAAGCTCAACACAGTCATGGTTTTATAAAATAGGAATGGGACTTTTGACCTTCATCAAACTGGAAGCTGAACAGACTCAATCTGAGTTCCAGGCCGGAAGGCAAACACAAGGCTCATGTGGCTTTATCACTTGGCCTCAGTTGCCTCCTCCAGAAACTGAATTCTGTTGTTCATTAATGAAAGGGAGCTTTATTTCCTTTTGCAAATGAACACGGAGTCAGTCACACTTGGGTGAGTCCTCCTCACACAAAGACTGGGGGTAGAAGAGGTACTTAAAGTTGTACTTGGTACCGGCTAGGCAGTAAGCAATCTCCTTGTCACACTTACACAGGAGCTTCTGGCATTCATCATCCGTGGATCCTGGAAGGAGTGGAGAGACTGGGGTTAAACCCTGCAGAAACTCCAGGGTCAATGCCAGGGAAACCAGCACAGCTGGGCAGAACGGGTCAGGTGTGGCATGTGTGTATGTGTGGAACAGGACATCTCGCCAGGTGCTCTCCATCAGCTTGTCCCCTCCAGGAAGGAGGGCATGTCAACCCCTGTGAAAAGGAACTTAAAATTTCAGATAGACAGTCTGATGTCCACACAATTCTGGCTTCTCTTCTGTGTCACATTATTACTGTTTCACTTGGGGATCTGCTTAGATAAGACAGTAGGGGCCTGGCAGCCATCCAGGCCTGGTTTGACCCTCCTTCAGGCCATGTGACTTACCTAAACTTTCATTTAAAGCAGGAGCAGTGCTGGAGAGGCAGCCCAGGGGTAGAGAGCACTGGCCTACCATACACAAGATCCATCCCCAGCCCTCAAGAAAAAAAAAAACGCCCTGACTGTAGGTAGCAATCACATGACCCCTATCACCCCTCCCTCCTGGGCTTACCTTTTGAGGACATGCGAAGATAAATCCCCTCTAGCTAGGGAATTCCACTTAACTCATTAATTGGCTTGGGAAGACTTTGTAGTCTAAAAGTCATATGTTATTAATCTAGATGATGTCACTCCTTTGACAGCCATGGATACACCCACTATCTTTTAGTGTGCACTTTTAATTTTTGACATAATGAACAACATTCACTATCAAATTCTTCTAATCTCCTTCAAAAGGCATGGTGAAGAAGTGGGAGCTTGGAAAATGGCTAGCTCAGCCATGGTTTTAGAAGCTTTGTGCCTTTAAACACATGCATGAGAAACTAGAAAAATCAAACCTGGGCCAGGAGCGGTGGTACTTGCCTGTAATCCCAGCAACTCCAGAGGCTAAGGCAAGAGAATCTCAAATTCAAGGCCAATTTAAGCAACTAAGTGAGGCCCTGTCTCAAAAAGGGCTGGAGATGTGGCTCAGTTGGTTAAGCGCCCCTGGGTTCAATTTCTAGTACCCTCCCCCCACTCCAAAAAAAAAAACAAACACCTATGGAGATAAAGTTCTAGAATTAGTCTAGTTAGATGATGTTGCCTGCCTGCCTGCAGGCTGTGAGGCTTCAAATGGGTGTGTGGGTTTTATAAAAAAGAAATTAGCAAGATTTGGTAGTCAATCCATCACTTAACACAGAGACACTTCCTCTTGTCCACTTGGAAAATAGAAGGTTGGAAGGGAAAAAATCTCACTCCAATTCATTTGTTAAGCTTCTGTGTAGAGCAAGGCACCCAGAAGAACAAGTCTCTGTTCGCCGACCTGAACAGTCTCCAAAGGCAGAGTCATCAGCACTCCACTTTGCAGAGAAGAAACCCTGGAAGGCATGGGGAGACCAGCACCCCCACCCAGCTCTGCCCAACTCAAGCCTCCAGCATCCAACTCCAGAGACGAGATGGGGTATTGACTCGGACCTTTAAGGTCCAAGTTATAACAGGATTATTTAAGAGTTTTACTGGCATGGGAAACAGCTTATAGGTAAGAGAAAAATAAGAGGTGCAAAACATACTATATATTTTTTTAAAGAAATAATTTTTTAATATTTATTTTTCAGTTTTCAGTGGACACAACATCTTTATTTTATTTGTATGTGGTGCTGAGGATCGGATGCAGCGCCCCGCACATGCCTGGCGAGCAAGTTACCGCTTGAGCCACATCCCCAGCCCCACCATTATATTTTTTAATTACATCTTCATAAAGGAAAACAGGAAAAACACCAGAATGAGAGTTGTCTTGGGTAGCATCATTGGGAGTTTAATTTCCTCCACTTTTATACCTTGTCATTTCAAACATTTCTACTTTGGGCCATATGGTGCTTTCATCATGGAAAGAAAATCCATTTTATTAAAAGGATTTGAAGAGTAGCTATTTCATGGATTAATGTACAAAGTGGGGGAAGCAGTTCAGTGGTAGAGTGTTTGCCTAGCATGTTCAAGGCCCTGTTTCCATCCCCAGCATCGCACACACAAACATAAATGTACAGTATCTGTTAGATCAGAATGTCTACCTGTCATTCAGCAGCTGCACCCAAAGAAAGTGGTTGCTAGGAGCCAGGTGCAGCAGCTCACGCCTATAATCCTAGCAACTCAGGAGGCCAAGGCAGGAAGATCTCAGCAACTTAGTGAGACCCTGAGCAACTTAGCAAGACCCTGTCTCAAAATAAAAAGGGCTGCAGATGGGGCTCAGTGGTTAAGCACCCCTGATTCAATCCCCAGTATCAAAAAAAAAAAGAAAGAAAGAAAGAAAAAGAAAAAGGAAGAAAGGAAGAGGCTTCTGGGAGCTTTGGTGACCCTCCTCTTCCCCAACTTTTATATTTTTTTTACTATAATTGATATACAAAAGCTGCACATATTTATGAGGCATAGTGTGATATTTTGATACTCTGCCCCCTTAGCCTATATAAATAAACACAATTTAAGTCGTCTTTAAATGTCCTTGCGATGTAAATGTGCCTCGTGACAAGCTCCCTACCTGTCTCTTCAGATTGCCCCCCAGCCCTTCCTATGCTGTAGAGGAGCCCCCAATACAATATTGGACCCAGCAATTCTAGACTTGATGCTGCCCACAAAAATCCTCAAATAAAGGCACAAATATTAACAGACACCCATGGTCTCTGCAACCTTGTGAAGCAGTTGATGGGGACATGGTCAAAATAAAGTACATTGACGACATGGACCAGCCATTCTCAACCATGGGCAGCTGAGCCTCCAGGGGGGCATCTGGCAATATCTACAGACATTTTAGTTTGTCACAATGGGGGAGGGGGTGCTACCATCATCTAGTGGGTAGAACGAAAGATGCTGCTAAACATCCCACAGTGCACAGGACAGCCCCTGGCAACAGAGAATTATGTGGCCCAAAATGTCAATAGTGTCAAGGGTGAAAAGCCCTGCCACAAGTTATATCTAGCTTTAGAGAAGTAACATCAGCTAGGTATGGTGGAGCACACCTATAATCCCAGCTACTCTGGAGGCTGAGGCTGGAGGATTGTAAATTCAAAGCCAAAGAGATCCTGTCTCAAAATTTTTTAAAGGGCCAGGGATATAGTTCTGGGGTTCAGCAACCTTGGGTTCAATAATCAGCCCAGCAAAATAAAAACACAAAAAACCCTCCCTGGGAGCCGAGGTTGTGGCTCAGTGGAAGAGGACTTGCCTAGCAGGTGTGAGGCACTGGGTTCGATTCTCAGCACCGCATATAAACAAATAAATAAATAAAGGTCCATCAATAACTAATAAAAATATTTTTTAAAAACACTCTCTGGTTCTTCCCCAAAAATGAAAGCATTCGGGCTGGGAATGGGGCTCAGGCAGTAGCGCGCTCGTCTGGCATGCATGCAGCCCGGGTTCGATCCCCAGCACCACATACCAACAAAGATGTTGTATCCGCCGAGAACTAAGAAATAAATATTAAAAAAAAAAAAAAATTCTCTCTCTCTTCTC